GAAAAAAGAAGGAGAAAAAGCATCATAGACGATTATTTTATAAATAAATTTCTCCTTTTTTTAGGCAGCATGAATATATATATATATATATATATATATTTAAAAAAAAAACTGCTCATTTATCTCAGTAGCGGTGATTTATTTTGTAGATGTCATGATAAAATGACCGTCAATGATGATATCGATTACTAAAACTTTTTTTCTAACACTACAAGAAAAAATGTATTTATTGATGCTAATAATTTTTGACGCTCATAAGAAATATTCACACTTATTAACGCTATTTTAAAAAGTTAGCGTTAGTAAGTTTATTTGGTCTTTCACCACGCCGATTTTGTTGACTAGAAATTTCTTGACGCCTATAAACGTCGAGAAGTTATTAGGAATTAAGTTTGCAATGTCATATAGTGTCGGAAATTTTTTTGAGAATTGGGAGTTAATTTTCCGACGCTATGTAGGCGTCGGGAAGTATTGGGAATCAAATTTGCAACGCCATATAGCCTGGGTAAGTTTTTTGAAATTTGTGATATAATTTTCTGACTCTTTGCAGGCGTCGAAAATTTTTTAGGAATTACATTATATAGCATTGGGAAGTTTTTTGAGAATTAGGAGTTAATTTTGCGACGCTATGTAGGTGTCGGGAAGTTTTTGGAAATTAAATTTGTGATGCCATATAGCGTCGGAAATTAAATTTGTTTTTTTTGTTTGATTTACATATAACTCGCAATACTTTTAGTGACTAATATTTTTCATGTTCTATTAGTTGGTCAAAAATGTCTATAGATAAGAGTTGGACATCGTTGTCTAATCGATTGTGTTCGGAGTACATAACTGGGGTTCGGGAGTTTATCCAAAGAGCTCAAAATTCAGCTAATGCAAAGGGGGATATTAGATGCCCATGTCGTGATTGTGGTAATGTATACTCGTATCCGGCAAGAATAGTTCACGCTCATTTGATCGATAGAGGGATGCAAGAAATTTATAAAAGAGAGACCTGGGTTTTGCATGGTGAAACTGTTAGTGATCCTCCTGCAGCTTAACAAGTTATGTCTAATGCTGAGTTAAATAATGATTATTATGATCTATTGCACAATATTGCCAGGTTTAGTTATGTCCAAGTGAAAAATGATGATGAAGATCTTATGGGTGCATCGACTGAAATTCTAAGAGGATCAACAAATCTTGAACAGTTTGATCAACTGTTTTTGGCATTGACATTCTTGGTTAAATTGATGCATGTGAAGGTCACGAACAAATGTACTAACAAAATGTTTGACATGATGCTCAAATTGTTGATTGAGGCATTTCCAGAGGCAAAATTACCAAGTTCATATTATGAGGCAAAATCATATTTACCGAGTTCATTTATAAATATTTTAAAAATACTTATACAGAGAAGATTAACATGACCTCTAATATGCAAACTGAATGGCACACTCAAATCGAAAAACAAAAGTGCCCCTACTTCATGCAATACATTATTTATACGCGCCTAGCAACTTGAATGGCTAATTTTTGTCCCTTCAGGCAATGTTTGGCCGAGGTACTAATGAAATACAAATTAGGTTTGCCTTTCTCAGGTACAACTATGTGGTTGTAATATTACTATCGAACACGGACTTGGGCTCAGGCTTGGGCTTGGGCTTGGAGCTGGACTTGCATTGGATGAATTGTTGCTTGAAGACAATAGCCACCCCATCATCTGCTTGAGAGTTAAAAGCTACAAAAGGAACAAAACAAGGATCCCACTTAAAAAAAAAAAAAAAAAAACAGAGAGATAGAGAGCTACAGAACAAGGATATTATCATTTTTAGAGTAATACTTTTCTCACTTAACAGAATAAAATATCACATAGGCTGGTTTTTTTTTTATTATTATTATTTTTTATTTTTTTTTTAAAGCATAAAAGCTTAGTGGTTTCTGTTTAGTTTTTATCTTTCTTAAATAATAATAATTATTATGACATGATTGTTGTCGTCGTTGTTATCATTAGAATATTGTTGTTGTTGTGGAGTTTGCAGCTTTTATCTCTAATCAGCTTAAAATTGAATACAATGGAATGTCTGAAGTTTTACGGAAATAATGATGTGTCTATGGTATGATAAGTTGAAATTTTACGAAAAGAGTTACCCAATATATATGTTTTGAGTCTAAGTGATCTCAAGGGGTTTTAAGGTAGTAAATTGAACATTTTGCACCTCATGTAATTGTTTTTTGTAAAACTACATGTTATGGCATTATATATATTGGATGGGATTTTTTTAATAATATATTTATGACTGACATTATGCTGCGTTGCTTATACAAAGTCCGAACACTAATGGGTCGGGCGTTGGAGCACCCGAGAATTTGAGTGGCCGAATGCCCGACTATCCAAGCGTCTGAGTTTCAAGCATCTGAGCATCCGAGCGTCCGAGTATCCAAGCGTCCGAGCATACAAGCGTCTGAGCATCTGAGTGTCCGAGCGTCTGAACATTACTACTCAGACTAACGAGGAAGCTCGAGGGTCACAAGACAACATCAAGTAGTATAACGGTCAACAATTAAATGCATTTAATGATCAATATTAAATCTATATTGATTATTTATCAGTTGTAACACTCAAGAGGTGAAGAGTTTTATATTGTTATTAAAAAGAGAATAAACTTTCGAATTAATGGGAGAATTAAACTCTCTATTTCTATTGTACTATAAATTCTCTCAATTTGAGAGAAAAGACACTCAAATTTCTAATACAAAGCCTTAAAATTCTGATATTTTGTATTAGTTTCTTTCTTTGAGCTTATTTGTATTCTTTGAGTGTTTATCTAATTTTCTCAAATTATCAGTTCGTTTAATTCGAATTATTAATCTAAGATCATTGGTTTGGTGTGGGACTAAATTTTGCTCCAACAATATATATATATATATATATAGTTGAAGTAGTCATAACACTAAATAAATATCTTTTATTTTCGGTTTTCTTAGTTATGTTTTCTAAATGTAAAGTTTCAAATGAAAAAAAAAAAAAAAAAAATTGAAGCTCGAAAAGTCTTCACCTAGAGTATCAGCAACTCTGAAAGTTTGCTGAGAAGCCCAGTTGGCCTAAAATGATGCATTTGGAGGAATAGTCCAGCCCACTTTGCCTCCTACTTGATGCACTTCTCCATTACGAGTACTACAAAAGAAACGGTTAAAATAAATTCTTTAACCATAATAGATAAATTAATTACCCTAAATAATTTCTTGCAACTAGATCATTATAAATAGGCAGAGAGCATATTCCAAACTCGATCTTCGAAAAGGAAAAGACAAAATAAGATGAAGCATTATTGTTTTGATATTATCATTTTTATTACCCATATTAATCAACCAAAATGGTTTTAGGCTATTCTTGAAGGGCACTAAAACATTGTTCCAAACGAGTTGTAGCCATAGCATAGCGGTATCCAACACTTGACAATACTATAAGATGTAGAGTTTCACATTCACCGACCTCAAGTTTTTTTTTTTTTAATCACAAGCAAAAGAAGCCTAAAGACAATTTTAACTTTTAGATTGTGCGATAATCAACATAGTACAATTATAAAAATTTCATAATACCTATAATACCCCTAATTAAAATTAAAATTTACAATCTTCTCAATTTAAAGTTTAGGCTCGTAATATAATATAATATAATGTAATGTAATAATAATATTGTAACAAATAATATCATAATTATATTAATAACTCTAATATTATTATTTTATCATATAATATGATATTATAATAATAATATAATATAATATAATATAACATAATATAGTTATAATTTTTAATTA